GGAAACAAAGGCAGGTTGTTTACCTGTAGGTATCAGATGTTGTGGCTGTGTTGGTCCAAGGATCGTGCAAGAGACAAGGATTCTTTGAGTGATAACTTTTTATTGGACAGACCGCATGGATAATGTTAGACAAGCAATTTTACTTGAAAACAATTTGCAGTTGGAGCTGGAACCCTTGGCATCACTGTCTTTAAGTTGTTATACAGGTGTAATTGGTGGGATGTTAATGATCTTGTCTGCCCTCTCATGCCCTCACTGCCCCTGCCTCCCCAATGGGATGTCTCATTAGAAGCTGCTGCGTAGCTCAAGGCAGAGAATATAGTTAAAAATGGTGCAGTTGTTGCTTCAACTGGTGAATGGCATTCCACCTGCTGAAGGAGAGGATCTGAGCAAGTACTACACGTTTCCAATGGTGAAAACTAAAAGGGAGCAGCAAATGGTATGGCCCATGTTTGGACTACCTCAGATAAGATGGTACTTAAGCCAGGCATGAAAGTTTTGTAATATTGATATTTTTGAACATTTCAACCTGCAGTAACCAAGTCCGGCTCTGTGCATTGATCTACAGTAAAAGCTCTGTTATCCACCATCCCCCAGGAATGCCTGTTTGGGGCACCACTTCTCCCGCTGCATCTGGGGCATCGCTGACCCTCCCACAGAACAGAGAGGCGAGCCCCGTGCAGCCTGTTATGCCCCTGGGGCCATGGGGGCTCAGCAGCGCAGGCGGCTTTGCTCTGGGCTGTAAGGGCTTGGAGAAACCAGAAGTGCCACAGTGGGCACTTCCGGTTTCATTTTTACTTACAAGTCAGCATGCCAGTTAACAGAGCATGCCGGCTTGTAAGGTTAATGGAGATTTTACTGTAGATGAAGTTGGGGGCAGTAATACCAAAAGCGGCATTTACTAATTCTTAAGTGTGTTTCATCTTACCATCTTTAGATGGCAAATTTTGCACTTCCACAAAATGCTACTGTACTGCACAACAGCACTTGTGGTAAAGGGGATACACCTACTCCTGTTCTCGTGATTGGATTTGGAATGGGACAGTCCTTAAGCCTGAAATTCATGAGGACCTCAAACCAGTACAGAGTTGAAGAGTTAACCTTCAGTTACAATTTGTCTGATGCCACTTTCTTTCCTGGTTCCTCAGCTGCAGGTGAGGTGAAAATTCAAGGTTCTTTCCATTGTTTAACTATTCTAGATGCATACATGTATAATACTCTTTTTTTATTAAATGTTGTCTAAGAAATTATAGTCACAACAAATGTAAATGTTCTGTTGCAGGAACAATGGAAGTCTCTCAAAAAACTGATATTCAGGCAAACTTGGGTACAAGATACCGATGCATCAGTACAGACCAGGTCAATATGAAGAATGTCAATGTTACTCTTAGCAATGTTACGCTTGAAGCATATCTTGTGAATAATACCTTAAGTGTAAATGGTAAGTATTTCCTTTAAAAAACAAACCAAAGAAACACTAGCAAGCAAATCTTTAGTCTTGCTTCATGCTAGATTTTTAATGGCTTCCATAACTAGAAATCAGTAATAAAAGAAACTTCATGTAATATCTGTAAAGTGGCCTTTTGTGATATGGGTTTATAGTCTCAGTTCAGTTCTCCTGCCTGAAAATATCTCAACAGACGAAATTGGCAATGTATCAACAAGACTATTGTAAAAGTATTATTTGAATTTCTCTACAGGTCATAAGACAAGTAAGTATTTAATGGAGATAAATAGGACCAACTTTCAGGATAAGGGTGATCAGGATCCATTTCCATACCTCCAGTCTATCCCATCTTTTCCATATAGTATTGCCTCTTCTCTTCCCTATTAGTTTTTTCTCTCTTGCCTTTCCAGATGTTTTTACATGTTAAAGAAATTCCAGGTCATACCCACCTTTTGTAACATCTGGGTAAGGTTTTCCTTAATTTAAATACCAGTGTTGAGTGACTTGACTGGTTCAGCCACTTCTATTCCTGATGCTTCTTGTCAGCAGCGTGCAATTCTGATGGCACAGTTAATGTTTAATGCATGAAATTCTACTTCTCATGTGTCTTTTTTAGCTTGGGCAGGCTGTCTTCTCCCAACTTAACAAATAAAAGCTGCCACTGTACAAAGGGAGACCTGGAGTACCTCCTAGTGGCAATCTGTTATTCTCCTGGAAGGGGAGTCTGCAGGAAGAAGTCAGCTCAGTTTTTGCCCTACTGAAGAATCGGTGTGACATGTAGTGCTTAATTTCAGTACTGGTCTCTGCTGGCCAGATACAGCTCTGCATCCTGGTTTGAATATATTCTTAGATATTACAGAGAACTTAAAATGACCTCCATGAAAATGCATATCTGGATTCTATCTAGGGGCTGACTTCTGAGAAGTAAGATTCTTCCCTAAATTTGCAAGGTTGCAACACACAGAGTTGTTAGTACTGGCAATAATTGTAGCTGGGGGATTGATCAGCAGATGGGAGAACACAATGGCATGCCCTTATGTTTTGAGGGAATGGTTAGCTGCTCTGAGCCAAGACCCAGCAGGCCTTCCATGAAGCGCTGTGGGCCAGGGAGGGGAACAACCCATTCTTCCACTGAAGAAAAAGCTTCCTTGCCCCCATTTCCCCCTGAAATGGAAAAAGATACCCAAGATGATGTGCCTGCATTTTGTATGTATTCTGAGGTGGTTGTAGATTGTAGATGAACTACGAGTAGAGGTGCACTAGTTAATTGATCCATGTCGGATTGGCACCAATAAAAGAAAAATTGACATTATCAGCAATCGGCTTTTTTTGGCTGGTGTAGCTCATTAATGTCACTGATAAATGCTGCATGCGTGCACATGGCCAGGAATGCA